CTCCCCGCCTCCCCTCCCCTCCCCCCTGCGGTTCCTGTCGCGCGCGGCCTTCGGCTCGCGCCCCTCCCCCATGGCAACGGCGCGCGCCGCCGCCCGCGTTCAGGTTCGCGCGCTCCCCTCTGGAGGAGAGCTCGCGAGACTCGGCTTCTCGCCCCCCTCCCACGTGCGGTCGAGGCCGCGCTCGCTCGCTCGCGCCGCTGCTGCCCTGGTTGGTCTTTTAAGTGGAGGGGAGGGGGCGGCGGCGGCGGCGGCGCACGGCCTGCGGCCTGCTCGCGGATGCGTTCTCCTGCCCGCCCCGTCCCTTTTCCCTCGTGACTGCGGCGTTAGGCCTCCCCGCCCCTTTGGAGGGCCTGTGGACCGGCCGGAGCCTCCCAGACGGCGGGGCGCCGTGCAGCCCCCTCCCCCATCGCTCAAGGCCGAATATAGGTCTTCGCGGTCCAGCCAAGGCCTTGAGCTAGGTGGCCCGGTTTCACGGAGTTTTCTCTCGGTAGTATCCACCCTGAAGTTGACTTGGGGGGGGGAATGGGGCCGCCGAATCTTACAAATAACGTATTCGAAGACGTACGGCAGGCCGTGCTCCCTTTTTATTCCGTATTCTGGTCAGTCTTTAAAGGCCTTCAATAAGCTTTTTGTTGGGAAGAACAATTCTGAACTATTTCAAAGACGTTCTAGCTTCTTATTTCATGAAACTTCATTTCTGTTTACTGTTGTCCCCCATATTTCCAGTCCATTCAGCTAATAGTGCTGAGCTAGCTCCTACCTACGACCATCTCCTGGACACCTCTGCCTGCTCCCCTCTTAGTGCCGGTTCTGAAACAGTTTAGTAATTTCAAAATATCCTACTTTATTAGTTGGCATTCTTGTAATTTTATAACAAGAAATTCCTTGCATCTTTTCTTTTTCTTTCTCTTGGGTGACTTTTGCCTAGGCAGTTTGGAAACTTCGGGTTTTAGAGTTGTCTTTTGGTAGTTTGTTTTTTGTCTTAAGTACTGCCTGGATGCTCTTTTTTTTTTTTTCTTCTTTCCTTTTGGTGCATCCCCTAAAAGTTGTAGAAACATTGTGACTTAATTTTCTTGGCTTAACTTCTACTGGTTTCCTCTTTTTTTAATAGAGGATTTTGGTGTGAGGTGTGGAATTGTGGGTGAATGGTTTGAAGAATTAATTGCAAGCCAGAAGTTTTGTGTTTGTTTTTTGTTTTTATTTTTGTAAGGGAAGTTAGAAATTAGGTGCGAAATAGGATTGCAAATAAAAGACCTTGTTTTGAGTGGGGAAGGATTGTTCTTAGAAAATTAGAAGTGATGCTGGGCACTGGTGAATTTATGCCTGTAATTCTACCTACTCAGGAGTCTGAGATCTGAGGATTGAGGTTTGAGTCTAGCCTTTGAAGGAAATTGTGTAAGGCTTCCAATTAAGTACCAAAAAGGCAGAGTGGAGCTGTGGCTCAAGTGGTGTAGAGCAAAACAATTCAGAGAAAGTGCCTTGGCTGAGTTGAAGTCCAGGACAGACACAAGGAAAGGAAAAATAAGAGAATTGAAAAGTGGAGAAACTAATTTCTTGAGATGTTGAGGCTTTCTTATTTGTGAATTTTCTTTCTTAGATTTAGTCTCATTGTTCCTTTACACTCATAACAGTTATTCATTGTTCTTTCCCAGGTCTTCTGTGGTTCTGTTAGGTTTACTGTGGGTCTTTTCCTTTTTTTTTTTTTGCTAGTCATGGGGCTTGAACTTGGGGCCTGTGATCTGTCTGAGCCTCTCTGTGCTCAAGGCTAGCACTCTACCACTTGAGCCACAGTGCCACTTCTGCCCTTTTCTGTTTATGTGGTACTGAGACATCGAACTCAGGGCTTCATGTATGTTAGGCAAGCATTCTAGCACTAAGCCACGTCGTTCCCTGTCCTGCTGTGGGTCTTTCTTAAAGACTCATCCTTAAGACTTTCAGAGCCATCTGGAACAATCCTTTCATTTAATATCCTTATATTTTCTCATTTCCCCCTTTGCATTTTAGTAACTTTTCCTGGGCATTTATATGGCACTTCTTTATTCTGGAGCTTTATAAATGCAATTTCCTTTCGTCAAATTCTATCTCTTTCATTTATCTTGATTGATCTCTGCCTGATCCTTGGGCATTTTCATGAGGCAATGTTTTCTTACATGCTTATGTTCTACGAAACTATCTCTGAGAATGTTAGAGAAAGACATGTAGCATAGGTAGCAGGAGAATAGAGTATGAGAAACCTATTAATTTAGTCAGGATTACAATCTTGGTTTGGGGGCTCCTTGAAAATCTTGCTGGGGTGGGACTAGTTGAGAGCATAGAACCTGGCAGGAGGCATAAGGTTAACATTAGAGGAAAGATGGGATTGGGTGAGGAAAAGTGGTATAGCTGGGAATTGGTACAGAAAGTTGATGCATGTGAGATTGTGAACTTTCTAAGTAAATTTAGGTGTATAGTAAAAAAAAAAAGGTGTATAGGGGAATGTATAGGAACAGTTGGATTGGAGAGGCTGGTTTGATTTGTTTAAAGAGCATTAAGTTGAAAGCAGGTAATACTTAAGAACTAGCCAGACTTGGAGGAGCTACAAGTCATATGGTAGATCCCACTGGAGAGGAAACTAAAGGCTAGTTGATAGCTGTAAATGTTTGGAATCAAAGAAATAGATCCTTCCCTGGGAGATAAAGTATAAGGTAACACCATGATTCATGTGTGTTTTTGATGTTCCTATTGGCCTATAGAGTGTAAGGCTGCATAGGATATTCAGTTTGTTAATAAGTGTACTTATTCACTGAGACTAGTCTCACTTTGTGTCTGTATAAGGATAGCCTGAAAGCTTTAGGTAAATTTTTGGAAGAGTCTTTGAACATGGATTGCAGGCCTTTAGGTGACAGATCTATGTCTGGTGTTTGTTGTGTTGTTTGGATGACTGTCTTGATTAGTAGAAGTTAGATGTTAAGAGTGGGGAAGATACCACTTGTGTGCATTAAGATCAAAGAGATTTCAGAGAAACTAGGAAAAAGGAAGCAGTATGGGAAGGATGAAGAATTTTGTTAGGAGACATGAGAATGGCCCATGCTAGCAGATTAAACACAAGAGCTGAACTAGGAATAAGGAGAGCCAGAGATATGGGAGGTGGTAAGTGGTAGTGTGGGGCCAGGGGCCTGACCCGTGTCTCCCCGCTCCCCCTCAGGAGCGGTGGTGCCCCCCCGGGCACAGGGCCATGTACAACGGGATCGGGCTGCCGACGCCCCGGGGCAGCGGCACCAACGGCTACGTCCAGCGCAACCTGTCCCTGGTGCGGGGCCGCCGGGGTGAGCGGCCAGACTACAAGGGAGAGGAGGAACTGCGGCGCCTGGAGGCTGCCCTGGTGAAGCGGCCTAATCCTGACATCCTGGACCACGAGCGCAAGCGGCGCGTGGAGCTGCGATGCCTGGAGCTGGAGGAGATGATGGAAGAGCAGGGGTGAGGGAAGGGGCGGGGCAGAACAAAGCATCTAGTGGGTACAGAGTGGGTATTAGGAGGGATATATGGAGCTTAGGGTTGGCTGGAAGAGTGGATTTGTGAGGAGAGGTAAATGAGTTAGTGAAGAATTAAGGGACAGTGTGAAGTGGGAGGTGAGGAAACTGTCTAGAGCATAAATAGTAGCTTGAGGGGTTCTGAATTAACTAGATGGATATGGGAAAGGGGAGATTATAGAGGAACAAAAATGTGCTGTAAAGGACAGAGAAGAGAACAGCATTCTGGCTGGCGAAGACGTAGGTAATCTGATAGGTATTGTCATTGGTAGGAAATGGATTAAGGCCGAGGCCTTGAAGGATAGCAAAGACAAAAGAAAAGGAATTGGAAGAATACTTGAAGAGGTTATTTTGGGCTAGGTAGGAAAGTGAAGTTTTGGAAAAGGCACACATTCAGGCAACCTTTTAGAGCAGTGGTTTTCAAACTTGAGCAATGGTACCCCTTTTGTACACTATACCTTCCTTTGAAATCCTAGGAAATAAAGGATCTTTTCTTGTTCACATTGGGAAGGAGCACTGAGAACTTTACCAACTAACTTTCTTCTCTAGGCCCCTAAATTGTAGTATGTTTAAAATCCACTGTTCTAGAGGCTATAGTAAATACAAAAGGAAGATATGGGGGGAAATCAGGGTTTAAGAAAATTTTGGATGATAGTGAAAAGTTGTATGTGTGCATGGAGATGTAAGGGACTCTGATGGAAATCAAGGAAATGTAAGTCTGACACTTACATTGAAGGGATTTGTTCTTTAGGTACGAGGAACAGCAAATTCAGGAGAAAGTGGCTACCTTTCGACTCATGTTGTTGGAGAAGGATGTGAACCCTGGGGGCAAGGAGGAGACCCCTGGGCAGAGGCCAGCGTGAGTTGAGCTCTCCCTTGGTTCCCCCACACTATATACTACTACTGCTGCTGCTGCTGCTGTTGTCCTTTATCCTTCCTTGCTTTTGTCTTCATGGCTGGTTCTTGCTTCTAATTACTTTGAGTAGACATCTGCTCTGTTCCCATTTTTGACAGATATTTGCCTTTTTTTCTTATAGGGTAACTGAGACCCATCAGTTGGCAGAATTGAATGAGAAGAAGAATGAGCGACTCCGTGCTGCCTTTGGCATCAGTGATTCCTATGTGGATGGCAGTTCTTTTGATCCTCAGCGTCGTGCTCGAGAGGCTAAACAACCAGCTCCTGAGCCTCCAAAGCCGTACAGGTAAGTAGGATTGGGCTTCTTTTTCTGGTTTTAAGCATCCTGCTGTTATTAACTATTTCTCCAAACATCAGATCTTGTTCTTTTGAGCCTGAAAGGTCTTAAGGGTATGGGCTCTACCACCCACATCTTCTGTTATTTTTTCCTAGCCTTGTACGGGAGACCAGTAGTTCTCGTTCACCAACTCCAAAGCAAAAGAAGAAGAAAAAGAAGAAAGATAGAGGACGGTGAGTCATTTGGAAAGTCAGTCTAGTATTTAGAGGATTAATCATGTGGTAAAATCATGTTTTTTTTTTTGGGTCCGGTTGTGGGGCCTGAACTCTGGGCCTGGGTGCTGTCCCTCAGCTCTTCAGCTCAAAGCTAGCGCTCTACCACTTGAGCCACAGCACCACTTCCGGCTTTTTTCTTTTTGCTTATGTGGTACTGAGGAATCGAACCCAGGGCCTCAGGCATGCAAGGCAAGCGCTCTACCACTGAGCCATCTTCCCAGCCCCTAAAATCATGTATTTTGTCTGTTGAGCATTCTATTAGGGAGCAGGAGACAACTGCCAGAAAAGCCATGGAGAAAGGGAATCACTATTTCAGTTTTTAACTGGGAGAAATTTTTGTGTTTATTGGGACAGGTTGAGTTTAACCTGCCGTTGAAGGATAGCCGCCATCGGCAACTTTAGGATTTGTTGATTTAACTATACTTGTTTTTTTTTTGGTCCAGTTGTGGGGCCTGAACTCTGGGCCTGGGTGCTGTCCCTCAGCAATTCAGCTCAAGGTAGCGCTCTGCCACTTCTGGCTTATTTTCTTTTTGCTTATGAGGTGCTGAGGAATCGAACCCAGAGCCTCAGGCATGCAAGGCAAGCGCTCTACCACTGAGCCACCTTCCCAGCCCCGATTTAACTATACTTGGAAGTGAAGAATACATCCTGGGCTAATTCTGGGCCACTGATGCTGATGGGAGTCATGGGTGCTTTAGAAACTATTTTTATGAGTCAGGTGCCCAGGGTTCTCATTACTTTGGAGGCTGAGATGTGAGGATTGTGATTTGAAGCCAACCCTGGCAGGAAAGTTTGTGAGACTTTTCCCTGCAATTAAGCACCAAAATGCTGGAAAGTGGATCTGAGGCTCAAATGTTAACTGAGTTAGCCTTAAGCATAAAAGCTTAGAGACAGTTCCCAAGCACTGAGTTTTAAGTCCTAGGACCAGCAAAAATTAAAAACCAAACATTTCTAGGGATGGATTGTAGGTGGGAGGGCTAGACAGAGCAAAATAGAGAAAGACCTTGCTTCTGAATCTGTCTTTAGTAGGTCAGAGAGCAGCTCTCCTCGTCGTGAGAGAAAGAAGAGCTCTAAGAAGAAGAAGCACAGGTATGGTATGAAGTAGAAGTACTTAAGAGTGATTGGAAGAGGCTTATTGATACTGAGTTCAGGCATAGGTGTGAGTTAGGAGTTTTAATTTATAATTTATACTTCCCTATAGGTCAGAATCTGAGTCGAAGAAACGGAAGCACAGGTAAGATTTCTTTGGCTCACATGGCAGTGGTGTTCTTTTTCTTGGAGTAAAGCTCACTCTTTTAGCTTTTCTGTTAACATTGTAGTCCTTTCCATTTCACATTGGATTTTATTGCAGTTTAAAAGATTTGCTTTGTAACACCTTTACCTTATTTCCTAGGTCTCCCACTCCAAAGAGCAAACGTAAATCTAAGGACAAGAAGCGGAAGCGGTGAGTAAATTTGAGAGGAATTTGCTTAGTAAGTAGATGAGGGCCCCCTTAGTGGGAGGGGAAAGTAGAGTCAAGGGTTAGGGGATGTGTGAGAAGAATCTAATATAAGTGAATTAACCTGATGAGCTATGTGGTGGTCTTTCAGGTCTCGAAGTACAACACCAGCTCCTAAAAGCCGTCGGGCCCACCGTTCAACCTCTGCTGATTCTGCGTCGTCCTCTGATACTTCTCGAAGTCGGTAAGGGGTAGTCCAAGAGGAAAGGGGAGGGAGAGGGAATGGTGGGTTAATTAATTTAATATTTATTGAGCGCCCACGGTGTGCTAGGCGCTGCACAGACCATTCGGAAGACACGGTCCCTGCCCTCTAGGAGCTGACAGGCTAAAGCAACAGGATGGACAGACATATACATTTCCCCTTGTCTTTTTATTTTATTTTTTATTTTTTGTTTCGTTATGATGTATATGGACTGCCAGAATAGGGGGAGGGGTGGTTTGTTCGTGGTGTCTGGGGGAGGAAGGAATCCTTACCCTGGCTTCCTTAATCGGGGAAGGCTTCCTGAAGGAGGTGGGTTCAGAGGTGAGTTGTGAATGAAGTGGGTAGGGATTGGGACTGGGTGGAGGGTTTGGGGATGTTTGGGGGAGGTGGATAAAAGGTTAAGGGGGAGATTGTGTTGGGATGAGATGGAACAAAGTGGACAGCTTGCATTTTGATGAATGATTTGAATCATGTGGCTAGATCATTTCTGGAAAAGGGTTGTACAGTTAGAAAAGCTGGATGGGGAGCTAGGGGGGAGGGGACTTCTGTTGTCCCTTGAGCTGACTTCCTTGCATTCCCCCATCCTTCATTTAACTCACAGGTCTCGAAGTGCTGCAGCTAAAACCCATACATCTGCTTTGTCTGGGCAAAGTCCTTCCCCTGCTTCAGGGCGTAGAGGGGAGGGAGATGCGCCTTCTAGTGAACCAGGTACCACCAACATACAACAGCGGCCTAGCAGCCCAGAGCCCTCTACAAAGCAGCCTGCCAGTCCTTATGAAGACAAAGATAAGAAGGAGGTATGTTTTGAATTAATATTCATTGCATTGCTTGGTTATTGGTTTTAGGATGAGTATGAAGGTGAGAACAGATAACATTAGAAAAAATTGTTATTTCTATGTTCCTTTCAGTTACCAAGTTCTTGTACACATCTGCAAATATTTTGGAATCGCAACTCACTAAATTTGAAGCCTGGATATTACAAGTTTTATGTCACTATGTGGTTCATATACATACATACATATACGTGTATGTGTACAAAGACAAGAGTGGGAAAAAGTTTAAATTTTTTTGAGGTAGTGGAAATTGAATCTAGGATACTGGACACGGTAGGCAAGTGCTAGACCATTTGAGCTAGGAGAAAAGGTTTTGTTAACCAGTTTACTTTTCCTTTATGGTGTTTGTTTTCATTTAATTATATGGGTCATGATTTTACTGTATACTTTTAATCTACTGCATTTTGCTACTAGCAGTCTGGAAACACTACAGAATGGTCTTTTCAATTTTGTCTGTTGTTTTATACCGTGTACTGGGTCCTGATCATTTTAGCCTTTAATTACTTCACTACTTTTGTCTTTTTATCCAGAGATGTTTCCGAATTATTAGTTGGGCCACCTCAGAGGTTTTGAGTTCTGTTGCTTTTGTGTTACATTAGTGTTTTTGTTTTGTTTTTTGTTGTTTTGTTTTTTGCCCTTTGAACTGCTTCTCAAGCTTGAACTCAGCTTGGCTTTTTTGCTCAAGACCGCTACCATTTGAAAGCCACAATTCTACTTCTGGATGCGTGTGTGTGTGTGTATGTGTGTCTGTCTGTCTGTCTTTGTGTGTGTGTGTGTGTGTCGGTTGTAGGGCTTGAACTCTGTGCCCGGATAGTATGGTCCCTGAGCTGTTCAGCTCAAGGCTCTATCCCTTTGAGCCACAGCTCTATTTCTGGTTTTCTGGTGGTTAATTGGAGATAAGAGTCTCACAGACTTAACTGCTCCGGCTGGCTTTAAACCACAATTCTCAGATCTCAGCCTCCTGAGTAGCTAGGATTACAGGCGTGAGCCACTGGTGCCCAACTGCTTTTTTTGCTTCACATTCTTTAAGTTGACTTTTGCTCATAGCTGGTGGTCTACTGCTTGAGCTATACCTCCACTTCTGGCTTTTTGCTGGTTAATTGGAGATAGACTCGAGGAGACTTTATAGCCCAAATGAGCTTTTGAACCCTGATCCTAAGATCTCATCTTGAGTAGCTAGGTTTATAGGAATGAGTCCTACCTGTATCTAACTCATATGGTCTATTTGTCACACAAATCATATTGTCAGGGGGCTGGGAAGGTGGCTCAGTGGTAGAGGACTTGCCTTGCATGCCTGAGGCCCTGGGTTCCATTCCTCAGCACCACATAAGCAAAAAGAAAAAAAGCCAGAAGTGGTGCTGTGGCTCAAGTGGTAGAGCGCTAGCCTTGAGCTGAAGAGCTGAGGGACAGCGCCCAGGCCCAGAGTTTAGGCCCCACGACTGGACCCAAAAAAATAAAAAAACAAAAAAAAAATCATATTGTCAGTACTTTGCCTTTACTTGGGCAATTTGTTTTCTTTTGCCTGTATTAGAGCTTGAACTCAGTGCCTCATACTTGCTTGGTTTTCTTGCTCATGGCTGGTGTTTTACCACTTGAGCCTCATCTCCAGACCAGCTCTCTTGCTGATTAATTGGAGATGGAGCCTCTTAGATTTTTGCATACAAGATGCTTTTGAACTGCAATCTTCCAGATCTGTCTGTCTCAGCTAGGATTACAGGTTTAGCCACCAGCACCAGGCTATTTATTTTAACTGAATATAGTTATTTATCAAAGCTGAGGATATCCTACTTTAAGAAATGTCTTTCAACTCACAAAACCTATTTTTTGGTAAGTAAGCCAGTCAGTGAACAAAGTCATCAGGTACCAAGTCCTAGTCTTGGAACAAAAAATAAAATTTTTTTTCCTCTGTTCTCAGAACTTTTTTTTTTGTCTGTCATGGGGCTTCAACTCTGGGCCTGGGCGCTGTCCCTCAGCTCCTCAGCTCAAGGCTGACGACGTTCCACCACATGAGTCACAGCGCCACTTTTGGTTTTCTGGTGATTAACTAGAATAAGAGTCTCATGGACTTTCCTGCCCAGGCTGGCTTTGAACCGTGATTCTCAGATCTCAGCCTCTTTTGTAGCTAGGATTACAGGCAAAAGGCACTGGCGCCTGGCTCAGAACATTTTTATAATACTACTTGCTAGTAACTTGTGTTTAGTTGCATTGTCTTTTTTTTGTTTTGTTTTGTTTTGTTTTGTTTTTTTGGGTCGGTCATGGGGCCTGAACTCTGGGCTTGGGCGCTGTCCTTCAGCTCTTCAGCTCAAGTGCCCTACCACTTGAGCTACAGTGCCACTTCTGGCTTTTTCTGCTTATGTGGTACTGAGGTATCGAACCCAGGGCTTCATGCATGCAAGGCAAGCACTCTACCTCTGAGCCACCTTCCCAGTCTGATATTGTCTTTATTAGTTACAGCTTTTAAGGTCACAGACTATTCATATATTCATGTTTTTCCCAATGTGTTTTATGTCATATGTCCTGTTACTGAGTAGAAGTGATTGCTGGTGGTGAGGAAAAGGACAAATTGGTACCATGGGGTTGGAAGAAGAAAAGCTTTATTGGAAAGGATGTTGGGTTCTTTGGGAGATAATGAAGCTTTGATGCTTATTGTATCTCTATCCCTACTTTTTCTTCTACTCTTAGAAATCTGCAGTTCGACCTAGCCCCTCTCCGGAAAGGAGCAGCATGGGTCCAGAACCGCTTGCTCCCCCTCCGCTCCTTGCTGAGCAACATGGTGGCTCCCCACAACCCTTTGCAACAGCCCCATTATGTCAGGATCCAGTGAATCCCCCTTCTGAAGCCTCCCCCACCCGGGGCCGTTCGCCAATTAAATCTCCTGAGAAACCTCCCCAATCATCTTCCTCAGAAAGCTGCCCACCATCCCCTCAGCCTACCAAAGTTTCTCGGCATGCCAGCTCCTCCCCTGAAAGTCCTAAGCCAACACCAGTTCCTTCAGCAGCCCTACGAGAGATGTCATCTTCTCCCACATCCAAGAATCGTTCACATGGCCGAGCAAAGAGGGATAAATCTCATTCCCATACCCCTTCCCGAAGAATGGGAAGGTCCCGTAGTCCTGCAACTACTAAGCGGGGGCGATCTCGGTCTCGAACTCCTAAGAGAGGCCACTCTCGGTCTAGGTCCCCTCAGTGGCGTAGGTCACGCTCTGCCCAGAGGTGGGGGAGATCTAGAAGTCCCCAGCGGCGTGGCCGATCTCGGTCACCTCAGCGTCCCGGCTGGTCCAGGAGCAGAAATACCCAGAGAAGAGGCAGATCTAGGTCAGGAAGGAGAGGCAGGTCACATTCTAGATCCCCAGCCACGAGGGGCAGATCTCGTTCTAGAACGCCAGTCAGGCGAGGTAGGTCCCGCTCTAGAACACCTGCCAGGCGGAGATCCCGGTCCAGAACACCTCCCCGGCGTAGGTCTCGGTCAAGAACGCCAGCCCGGAGGGGAAGATCTCGGTCGAGAACACCTGCTAGGCGCAGATCCAGGACCCGATCACCAATACGACGAAGATCTCGTAGTCGATCACCAGCCAGGAGAAGTGGTAGGTCGCGTTCCAGAACCCCGGCCAGACGTGGCCGATCGCGCTCCAGAACCCCGGCCAGACGTGGCCGGTCGCGCTCTAGAACTCCAGCTAGACGTGGCCGGTCACGGTCTAGAACACCAGCCCGGAGAGGAAGATCTCGGTCTAGAACACCAGCAAGACGAAGGTCCCGTAGTAGAAGTCTGGGTAGGCGTGGAAGATCACATTCTAGATCACCACAAAGAAGAGGCAGGTCTGGCTCATCATCAGAGCGGAAAAACAAATCCAGATCATCTCAAAGAAGAAGCAGGTCCCACTCAAGCCCGGAAATGAAAAAATCCCGTGTTTCCTCAAGGCGGAGCAGATCTCTTTCTTCATCACGATCCAAGCCAAAATCTCGCTTATCTCTGAGGCGAAGCCTTTCAAGGTCTTCTCCTTGTCCCAAACAGAAGTCTCAAACACCACCTAGGCGCAGTCGTTCTGGATCATCCCAACCTAAAGCTAGATCCAGAACACCACAGCGAAGTCACTCTGGTTCTTCACCACCTGAACAGAAGTCTGAAACACCATCCAGACAAGCACGTTCCAGTTTATCTCCTCACCCTAAAATGATGTCTGGAACGCCACCAAGGCAGGAGTCTGTAACCAGTTCCCAGGCAAACGAACAGTCTGCAGTGACACCCAGGCAGAGCCATTGTGAATCATCACCTGACCCTGAGATGAAATGTGGAACCCCTTCAAGATATAGCTGCTCTGAGTCCTCTCCTCAAGTGAAATCTAGGACACCTCCAGGACATAGCCCATCTAGATTGTCATCTCCACAACCTAGAGTAAAGACAGTGTCACCAAGACACAGGAGCCATTCTGGCTCCTCTTCTCCGAGTCCTAGTAGGGTGACTTGTGGAACACCTCCACGGCAAAGCAGGTCAGTATCTCCCTGCTCCAAGGTGGAATCTAGATTGTTGCCAAGACAGAGCCATTCTAGATCCTCTTCCCCAGATACCAAAGTAAAGCCTGGAACACCACCAAGACAAAGTCACTCAGGGTCTACATCGCCACACCCCAAAGTAAAGTCTCAAACTCCACCAGGACGAAGTCTCTCTGGATCAAAGTCACCATGTCCCCAAGGGAACTCTGAGGACTTGTCAGCACAGAGTGGCTCTGAATCTTTCTCTCTCTGTCCTGGAGTAACATCTTGTATACTGCCAGGGGAGAGCTATTTTGGCACCTCATCTCTGCAACAGAAAGGAGAATGTCAGACTTCACCAGACCACAGGTCTGATACTTCAAGTCCAGAAGTGAGACCGGGTCACTTGGACACTCTATCTTTGCAGAGCAAATCTCAAACATCTCCTAAGAGTGGCCGGTCTAGGTCTTCATCTCCAGTCACTGACATAATGCTCAGATCTCCAGTGAGACAAGATAGAAATGACTTATCAACAGGTCCAAGGCTGAAATCAGGTATGTCTCCTGAGCAGAGATCTCAGTCTGACTCTTCCCTGTATACTCCAGTGGACTCTAAATCTCTTTTGGGACAGAGCAGATTGGAACCTTCGCCTGAAACGAAGGAGAAGATAGGCTTATCCCTTCAGGAGACTGTTACTGGGCATTCTCCTAGACCTAGAGACAGATTAAGTCCTGTGCAGGATAGGCCAGAGTCCTCACCAGTCCTGAAAGACACGCCTAGACCGCAATCAAGAGAAAGAAGTATTGTGGGATCTCCAGATACAAGAGACCAAAATACTACATTACCTAAGTTAAGTCAAGACGAGGAATTAATGGAGGTGGTAGAGAAATCTGAACAGCCTTCGAACCAAGTTCTGCCCCAAATGTCTCCAGAACTTAAAGAAGTTGCCTGCATTAATTTTGAATCTCAGTCTCCTGAAATAGAACAAAGGTCTGTTGTGTCATTGGCTTTTGACCAAAGTGGGTCACAGGCTTTGGAAGCAGAAGTCCCTGCAGTGGCCTCGTGTTGGAGCGGACCCCACTTTTCTCCAGAACATAAGGAACTGTCTCACTCCCCTCCCGGGGAGAATAGCTTTGAGTCACCTTTAGAATTTAGAAATTCAGGCCCTGGTACAGAAATGAATACTGGATTTTCTCCCGAGGTTAAGGAAGATTTAAATGGACCTTTCTTGAGTCAGTTGGAGACAGAACCATCTTTAGACATGAAAGAACAGTCAACCAGGCCCTCTAGACGCAGCAGTTCTGAGTTCTCCCCAGATGGAGTGGAGAAGGCAGCGATGTCTTCAAATCAGAGTGTCTCTTCACCTGTACTCGGGGCTGTACCTAGAACGCCTTCTAGAGAAAGAAGTAGTTCTGTGTCTTCTCCTGAACTGAAAGATGGTTTGCCGAGAACTCCTTCAAGGAGAAGCAGGTCTGGGTCTTCTCCAGGACTTAGAGATGGGTCTGGGACTCCCTCTAGGCATAGTCTATCCGGGTCCTCTCCTGGGATGAAGGACGTACCTAGAACCCCATCCAGGGGGCAGAGCGAATGTGATTCTTCACCTGAACCAAAAGTGTTGCCTGAAACTCCTAGGGCAAGAAGTCATTCTCCCTCATCCCCAGAGCTCAACAAGGGTCTCACCCCTCAGAGAGAGAGAAGTGGATCTGAATCATCAGTTGAACAGAAGCCTGTGACTAGGACCCCCCGTGGGCATGGAAGTCCATCTGGATCTTCTCAGGAACTTGATGGGAAACCTGGCACATCCCCTCAGGAGAGAACTGAGTCAGACTCTTCCCCTGATTCTAAAGCCAAGATGCGAAGTCCACTTAGACAGAGGAGTCGCTCTGGATCATCACCAGAGCTTGACAGCAAATCTCGACCCTCTCCTCGGCGTAGTAGATCTGGCTCATCCCCTGAAGCAAAAGATAAACCAAGGTTGGTGCCCAGGGCCCAGAGTGGTTCTGATTCCTCTCCTGAGCCTAAAGTACCTGCCCCCAGGGCCCTGCCCAGACGCAGCAGATCAGGTTCATCAAGCAAAGGCAGAGGTCCTTCTCCTGAAGGAAGCAGTAGTTCTGATTCTTCTCCAGAACACGCACCCAAACCCAGAGCCACTCGAAGAGGCTCCAGGTCCTCACCAGAGCCTAAGACCAAGTCTCGCACACCACCTCGACGGCGCAGCTCTCGATCATCTCCTGAAGTAACTAGGAAGGCCAGAGTGTCTCGAAGAAGCCGCTCAGCTTCATCATCACCAGAAACTCGATCCAGAACTCCTCCAAGACGCCGAAGAAGTCCCTCAGTGTCTTCCCCAGAGCCAGTTGAAAAGTCGAGGTCTTCACGTAGGCGACGTTCAGCTTCATCTCCACGCACTAAGACAGTTTCAAGGAGAGGCCGGTCTCCTTCACCAAAACCACGTGGGCTCCAGAGGTCCCGGTCTCGCTCACGCAGAGAGAAAACAAGAACAACGCGACGTCGAGATAGGTCTGGATCCTCACAGTCAACCTCTCGGAGAAGACAGAGGAGTCGGTCTAGGTCTCGGGTAACTCGTAGGCGGAGGGGAGGCTCTGGTTACCATTCAAGGTCTCCTACTCGGCAGGAGAGTTCCCGAACCTCTTCTCGACGCCGAAGAGGCCGTTCCCGGACACCACCAACCAGCCGGAAGCGTTCAAGGTCACGCACATCACCAGCTCCGTGGAAACGCTCTCGGTCTCGTGCCTCACCAGCTACTCACCGGCGATCCAGGTCCAGAACACCCCTGATCAGCCGGCGCCGGTCCAGGTCTCGGACATCACCTGTGAGTCGAAGGCGGTCACGGTCTAGGACATCAGTGAATCGACGAAGATCTCGATCAAGAGCATCCCCAGTGAGTCGAAGGCGATCCAGATCCAGAACACCACCAGTAACGCGTCGCCGCTCAAGATCCAGAACACCAGCACGTCGTCGCTCCCGTTCTAGAACTCCTCCAGTGACTCGGAGGCGGTCCAGATCTAGGACTCCCCCAGTAACTAGAAGACGATCTCGAAGCAGAACTTCACCCATTACTCGGAGAAGGTCAAGGTCCAGAACATCCCCAGTCACTCGGAGAAGATCTCGATCTCGTACATCTCCAATCACTCGCAGGAGGTCCCGCTCTCGAACCTCTCCTGTAACACGCCGCCGCTCTAGGTCTCGAACACCTCCAGCAATTCGGCGACGCTCAAGGTCTCGAACACCCCTGTTGCCACGCAAACGTTCTCGAAGTCGCTCACCGCTTGCTATCCGCCGCCGTTCGAGATCTCGTACTCCACGAGCAACCCGGGGCAAACGCTCTTTAACAAGATCCCCTCCAGCAATCCGTAGACGATCTGCATCAGGCAGTAGTTCTGACCGTTCACGCTCTGCTACTCCTCCAGCAACAAGAAATCATTCTGGATCCCGGACACCTCCAGTAGCACTGAGTAGTTCCAGAATGAGTTGCTTCAGTCGTCCTAGCATGTCACCAACTCCTCTGGACCGGTGTAGATCGCCTGGAATGCTTGAACCACTGGGCAGTGCCAGAACACCCATGTCTGTCCTGCAGCAAGCCGGCGGCTCCATGATGGATGGTCCAGGTCCACGACTTCCTGATCATCCAAGAACATCAGTGCCAGAAAATCACGCTCAGTCTAGAATTGCACTTGCTCTGACGGCCATCAGTCTTGGCACTGCCCGGCCACCTCCGTCCATGTCTGCAGCCGGCCTAGCTGCAAGAATGTCTCAGGTTCCAGCTCCAGTGCCTCTCATGAGCCTCAGAACAGCCCCAGCTGCCAACCTCGCCAGTAGGATTCCTACAGCCTCTGCAGCAGCTATGAACCTTGCTGGTGCCCGAACACCTGCCATTCCAACTGCAGTCAACTTGGCTGATTCGAGAGCACCAACTGCTGCAGCCGCAGCCATGAACTTGGCCAGCCCCAGAACAGCAGTGGCACCTTCAGCTGTGAACCTTGCTGACCCTCGAACCCCCACAGCCACAGCTGTGAACCTAGCAGGTGCCAGAACCCCAGCTGCCCTGGCAGCTTTGAGTCTCACGGGTTCTGGCACACCTCCAGCTGGTGCGAGCTATCCCTCGAGCTCCCGAACACCCCAGGCTCCAGCCCCAGCAAACATGGTGGGTCCTCGGTCTGCCCATGCTACAGCTCCTGTGAATATTGCCAGCTCTAGGACCCCTACTGCCTTGGCCTCTACAAGTCTCACCAGTGCTAGGATGGCTCCAGCATTGTCTGGTGCTAACCTCACTAGTCCCAGGGTGCCCCTGTCTGGTTACGAGCGTGTCAGTGGCAGAACCTCACCCCCCTTGCTTGACCGAGCCAGGTCCAGAACACCACCAGCTGCCCCGAGTCAGTCTAGAATGACCTCTGAGCGGGCTCCTTCCCCGGCCTCAAGAATGGTCCAGACTCCTTCCCAGTCTCTTCTTCCTCCAGCACAGGATCGACCTAGGTCTCCTGTGCCATCGGCTATGACAGACCAATCTCGTTCTATTGCCCAGACCACTCCTGTAGCAGGGTCTCAGTCCCTGTCCTCTGGGGCAATGACAAAGACCGCATCCTCTGCTAGTGACCACAATGGCCTGCTCTCTGGCCCTGCTTCTGAGATGTCCCACCCCGAGGGTGGGGAGCCACTTCCCTCTACTGGGGCCCTGCAGCCCCCAAAGGAACGGCGGAGCAGCTCATCGTCATCGTCATCATCTTCTAGCTCCTCCTCCTCCTCCTCCTCTTCCTCCTCCTCCTCTTCCTCCTCTGGCTCCAGTTCTAGTGACTCGGAGGGCTCTAGCCTTCCTGCCCAACCTGAGGTGACACTGAAAAGGTGAGGGAATTTAAAGATTCTTACCCATGGGGAAGGTATTGGGGGACAGGTGCAGGAATGGGGAGGAAATAGTGGTCGGCTCCTTGAGTCTTGGGGACTATGACACTAGAGCTGGGGTAGAAGAGTGCTGGGGTGGGGCTGTTGGGGGCGGGATGGAACAGGTAAAAGGCTCCAGAGGTTAATTCTCCAGAGGATAATGATAAGTTTTCCATCTCTACAGAGGACAGAACTAGAGGAAATGGACTTAATTTTACAGCAGGAGGGATGGCAGTTAGACCTCAAGAGGAACTCCCTGGGCTGGAAGGATCTTCAGAGGTCATCCCGTCCCTCTCTCTGCCTCCAGGCAGGACGGCCCCTCCCAGCCAACCTGCCATGCACAGGGGCCTCCCCAAGCTGCGGCTCTCCCAAGGAGGGAGACCACCTAGCTTCAGCTGACCATCTGAGCCCAGGGGCCTTATTCCTCCATCAGGGACATTTTTGAAGTTTAACCTTGATCCCTTGTGCTGTGGCCTCAGCCTAATGCTTGTGTTAGCAGACGTTGGGTCGGCTCAGGCCACTGCTCCAGCGAAGTGCTCACTGGCCTACCTAGGCGTGCTCCCGAGGCCTTTCTCAGCACCCCTCCCCCACCGCCCTTCCTCCAAGCCAAGGAAGGTAGGGTCAGGGCTGGGGCAGCTTGTCTACTGATGACCTTGCTCTTTTCCCACAGGGTCCCCAGCCCCACCCCAGCCCCCAAGGAGACCGTTCGCGAGGGACGTCCTCAGGAGCCAGTCCCAGCCAAAAGGAAGAGGCGCTCTAGCAGCTCCAGCTCCAGTTCTTCCTCCTCTTCCTCTTCCTCCTCCTCTTCCTCCTCCTCTTCCTCTTCCTCCTCCTCTTCCTCCTCTTCTTCCTCCTCTTCCTCCTCTTCTTCCTCTCCCCCCTCTCCTGCTAAGCCTGGTCCTCAGGCCTTACCCAAACCTGCAAGTCCCAAGAAGCCACCCCCTGGCGAGCGGAGGTGAGTGCTGCCTTGCCTGAGGTGGAAGTGGCGGGTGGGTTGACTTCTCCAGAGAAGGGACCCTGGGTGAGGTTCCTGCTGGGGTGCCTCGTGGACGTCGGTGTCTGATTGTATGGGAGGACTCGGGCAAACTCCTCTGCCCGCTGCTCCCAAGGTGCCTTGTTCTGGAAAAGGGCTGCACCATCCAAGAGGGTCCCACACCAGAATTGGGAGGTTCTAGTTTTCTTCCTCTGTCCCCTCCCTCCCTCCCCTGACATGCAGCCCAGTCCCAGGGGTTCTAGCTAAGTCTCCCCATTGCTGCTGCAGGGCTCTGGTCTGGCCACCGTCATCTTCTCCCGACTCTGTCCACAGCCTCCTCCCTGTCTCCCTGCCTCCACGCCATTCTCTTCCACTCGTAGCCAGAGGGATCTTTCTAAAACGCACATCTGGCTACTTCCCTCCACTCCACAAATCCTTCCGGGACGCCCTGTGGCCTGCAGGATAAAGCCCCACCTCTGCGGGAATGGCGTGTGAGGCTCTTCACCAGCTACCCTTGCCCGCCCCATGCTCTTGTCCACCCTGTGTTCCTTCTGCCTACCCCCACACATGCCCTGTGATCCGGCCATGCCCGCGCCTTGCAGTCTAGGAGAGCCCCATGCCTTTGGACATGCTGTTCCTTCTGCCTGGGATTTCCTTGTCCGCCTGGCGAGCTCCTCGTTCTGCAAGACTCCACTCAAACAGCACCTCCGAGAAGACTGCCTTGCCCTTTCCCTGCCCCATCCCAGCCCAGGCTCCCCTCCCTGGGGCCCCCAGACCCATGCATATCCATTCCTGCGGGACTGCTTCCCACACATGGGGACTGGGCCTGTGTGCCTCCTATGCTGGCCTCCTCCACTACCAGACTGAGCACCTTCAAGGGCAGGGACTGTCTTTTATCTTTGCGTCCCCCGCTGCACCCTGTGCCCTGCCCACTGGGGCACTCGGTGGATGGTGTGCGGGCGGATGGGTGAGTGCGGATAAAGGTGGGTCTGAGGCTGGCCCTGCGTGGTGTGAGGTTTGGTGGTCAGGACCTGGGCGGGTGGTCCTGAGTGCTAGCTGGTGGGTTTGGAAGGATGTGGTGCTATAGAGTCCCGCTCTGCTCCTCAGGTCTCGGAGTCCCAGGAAGCCAATAGACTCCCTTCGAGACTCTCGGTCCCTCAGCTATTCTCCTGTGGAGCGCCACTGTCCCTCACCCCAGCCTTCCCCACAGGAACAGCAGAGGTGAGGCCCCCTTCAGCCTGTTGGCTAATTAGCCACCATCCACTCGTACAGAGGGCTTTTGAGGCTTCTTAAAGACAGCCTGGGGTCTGATACTGTCCTCTGTTGCAGCAGTGAGCGGGTTTCCCGGAGAGGCCAGCGTGGGGACAGCCGCTCTCCCAGCCACAAGCGTAGAAGGGAGACGCCTAGTCCTCGGCCCTCACGCCACCGCTCCTCCAGGTGAGTTGAGTCTTGAGTGGCAGCACTTGTGGACCAGCTTAAAAAGTGGCACTTGGGCTGGGTGCAGTTTTCACATGATCCTCCTCTGTTGCAGGTCTCCATAAGTCGTTGGGGTTTCTATCACACCTCATAATTCTGGAGCCACACGGAACACCCCTTGTCCCCAATGGAGCTGTAGGGGTCCTTGTCTGTTTGCCCCTTGAACCCTGACAGCATCTTCTGGGAGGGCTCCTTTCTTCCCCTCCATTTTTTTTGTTTCTGTGAAATGTTAATCTCTGTGAGTTTTCCCTGGTTCGTGTTGGGGGGGAGGGCAGGGATTGGGGAGGGGGAGGGAATGCAAATGGAAGCTGGGGGAGGGGAAGGAAACTCCCTAGCCTAGTTATTAAGGGGGTAATTGATGGTTTGGGTCATGGGAGGTTGGTTGATATCTGGGAAGGGGCAGGATTTGAATTCATTGAGCCCTTGTTGGCCCCTATGACGTTGCAGGCCCCTCCCCCCCAAAATTTCTTCATGTTTCTTAAAGGCATTTTGGTTTTTTAAAAATCTGTACAGCAAGAGAAACTTTTTCTGTCAAATAAAAATGAGAAATGCAGGAATTCAGTCTATAGACTTTTTTTTTATTAACAATCCTAGGGCTTGAACTCAGGGCCTAGGCCCTGTCCTTGACCTTTTTGCTCAAGGCTAGTGCTGCAGCTTGAACTACAGTTCCACTTGGAGTTCTGGAGTGGTCTACTGTAGAGTGGGATTCCATGGCAGGAAGAGCTTGACGGATGTTCCTGCCTTGGCTGACTCCAAACCGGGATCTCAGCCTCCCGAGTAGGTATGATGACAGACTACAGGTGTGAGCCTGGTACCAGCACCTGGTAGACCTTACTTTGGTGTGATAGAGGAGCTACCAAACGATTATGGCTATAACTGCTGGCTTCTCACCTGGGACTATTTGGAGAATGGCAACTGCACATAACTGCTGGCCCAGGGCTTTGGGTGGACTATGGTGCCCCGAGGGGCAGGCAGCCTGGCCGCAAACAAGGTCCCTTAGAAGCTGATGTCTAGACTAAGGAGCCGAGTTAAGAGTAGAGAGAAAGAGGCAGCAGTCAGGCAGACACCCAATCTCTTTTATTGGGGGTAGGGGGAATGAGCCTCTGGGGCATGCCTGGGGCCCTCACTGCACAGCTTGTTCATTGGCGCTGCCTCCGGAATCCTGAGGCTTCATCACATCTGGAAGCTCTGGTGGGCTGGAGAAGGGCTCGATGCGCAGGGCCTCAAAGGCTTCATCTGTTGGGAAGGACAACTGGAGTCGGTTCCCTACCTCCTGTCCACTTGCTCAGAAGACAAATTTTGTCTTAAGCCCCAACTCCCAACCTCTGGCAGGCTGCCGTCTTGGTGCTGAAATGTCATAGTCTCTCCCTACCCCTCTGCTCCCCCCCCAGCACAACCCAACCACCCCTTCATAACCCCACCTTGGCCCCATGCAACTGGCTGTTTTGGGGGCCTTTATCCCCGTTCACTTATTTGCCTTTCCTTTCCTGGGGCTTGAACTCATCTTAGGCACTGTCCCTAAGCTGCTTTTGCTTGAGGGTAGCATTCTGCTACTTAAGCCACAGCCCGACTTTAGCTTTTTCTTAGTAGTCAGTTGGTGAGTCTGACTTTTCCTGCCTGAGCTGGCTTTGGATCTCAGGCTGATCCTTGGATCTTTCAGAATAGCTAGTGTATCGTAGGAGGAAGCTACCAACACCAGCTGATCAATAAGCCAGCCTGTGGCCATAATACTTCATTCTATCTGCTTTGTCTCCACACCACCATCAACTTTACCCAGGTTTCCTTCCCATCAGGTTTTTGAATGCAATCTTCACTCCCTGCCCTTTTTGATCATGCCTGATGCTTAAGGTACTGGCTCCTAAGGTTCCTACACCACCCCGTTTCCTGCCTGAGTCTCTGCACTCAAGCTGGCTAATCTGGCTGTTGAACTCAGGCCCCTCCTCAGAGATCACTCCCAGCCTGCCAATAAGTACAGTTTCTGTGTCTGTACTGTATCAACTTACCTGGACATTACCTCAGGAGCACTTAGCACAAGCAACTTGTCCGCTTTTCATACTTCAAACAGTGGCTCCAATTCCCACCCTTGTTCCCCAGTGCAGAGGAAATGAACTTCATACTTTTTTCTCCTACCTTACAGACTCTTCACCAGGCTCAAATGACACTTGGAGGTGTGTGGGTGCGGGCATGCGTGTCTGTCCTGGGGCTTGAACTCAGGACCTAAGTGCTGTCCCTGAGTTTTTTTTGTTTTTTGTTTTTCTTTGTCGGTCATGGGGCTTGAACTCTGGGCCTGGGCGCTGTCCCTCAGCTCTTCAGCTCAAGGTGAGCGCTCTACCACTTGAGCTACAGCACCACTTCCGGTTTCCTGGTGGTTTATTGGAGATAGGAGTCTCACGGTCTCTCCTGCCCGGGCTGGCTTTGAACCGAACCCCGATCCTCAGATCTCAGCCTCCTGAGTAGCTAGGATGACAGGCGTGAGCCACCAGCGCCCGGCTCCTGAGTTTTTGTGCTCAGGGCTAGTTGTGTATCACTTTGAACCTAATTAGGCTCTATTTTCAGCCTTTTTAGTGGTTAACGAGATTCAAGAGCTTCCCTGCCTGGGCTGGCTTTGAACCCCTTTCTCAAAGTCTCAGCTTCCTGAGTGGATTACAGGCATGAACCATAGGCGCAGAGCTCTAGGGCAGTTTCTTCATCTACTTCAGTAAACCATTTTTTTTTTTTGGCCAGTCCTGGGGCTTGAACTCAGGGTCTGAGCACTATCCCCAAGCTTCTTTTGCTCAAGGTTAGCACTCTACCAATTGAGCCACAGCACTGTGTCTAGCCTTTTCTGTGTATGTGGTACTGAGGAATAGAACCCAAGGCTTCACGCATGCTAGCCTAGCACTCAACTGCCAAACCACACTCCCAGCCCAGACGTTTTTTTTTTTTTTTTTTGGGTCTGTTGGTCGTGGGGCTTGAACTCTGGGCCTGAGTGCTGTCCCTTGCCTCTTCAGCTCCAGGCAAGCACTACCACTTGAGCTACAGCACCACTTCCGGTTTTCTGAGTGGCTTATTGGAGATAAGAGTTTCACGGACTTCCCTGCCCCGGGCTGGCTTTGAAATGTGTTCCTCAGATCTGATTATAGGCATAAGCCATGGGTGCCCAGCAGAAATTCTTTATATACTTAGCTACAGGAGGTCCAAAGCAGTGAAAATACAGGTCTATGTTTCTATGCCCAGAATCAAAGAACAAATTCTAAAAGCTTCCCGTTAAAATTGGGAAGAAAATAAACAACTTTTTGCAGATGCTGGGCCTTGAACTCGGGGCTTGTGCTCTGTCCCCGAGCCTCTCTATGCTCAAGGCTAGCACTCTACCACTAAGCCACATTCCCAGCCCAAATAAACCACTCTTTACCTTTCAAATTTCTAAGATTTGGGCAGGGCTGAGGCAGGATGGATTAGATCACAAGCTTTGTTGATCTGACTCCAGAGTTAATGTCCCAGCTAGTAACTAGACCACTTCAGGTTCTTTAACTTATCTAAAAATGGGCACAGTACAGGTCTCAGAAATGCACTGTACAGCCATGCAGTCTGGCTCCAGAAGCTACTTCAAAGCCTAGCCAGCCCCGTGGGACTGCCTCAGCATCCCCATCTTCTAGATGAAAACTACTGCTTGTCCAGAGCTATGGAGAGGAACAGAAAGGACTCAGGAAGTAACATGGAGAGTACAGGGTCAAGCACTTAGAGAAGTAAATCTGCGCTGATAGTTGGGCTGTATCTTCACATCTATGGCTGTTATCAGCCTACACATGCCATCCAGCTCAGCCCTCTTACCTGCCCGGAAGGCTAGGCCCACTGTGGCTGGGGCCTGGGGCCGTGCTGTCTGGCTGGTGAAGCCACACTCGCCCAGCGTTTTCCCATCATCTAGAAGCTGGTCGTCCTGAGGAGGAAAAGCTTGAGTCCGGGAGGGGTCCCTGAGGGATATATCCCAGACCTCTAGCCAACAACAACGGGGAGTCAGAGGGAAGACAGACATCTCCACCTGTGGCTATGACTCCGGAGTATACAATATGCATGCCAACACCATACCCAAGGGTTTCAAACACAACCATAGAGAGAAGGAAATCTGATGTTTCCCAACTCTCCAAGCAAGTCTAATTTGGAGCCACTGGCCTAGGTCCACCCCCCCATCTCCCCCCCAAGTCCTAGGTCCTGGGCACTGTCCTGAGTTGCTTTTTTGCCCAAGGCTAGCACTCTACCACTTGAGCCACAGCGCCACTGCTGGCTTTTTCTGTGTGTGTGTGGTACTGAGGAATCAAACCCAGGGCTTCATGAATGCTAGGCAAGCACTCTACTGCTAAAGTCACATTCCCAGGCCAACTAGCATAGTTTGAAGAGAGCTAAAACTTGATAGATAAATCCCCGTAAACAATGTCTCAAGTCCCAGGCTGGCCTTGAGCTTGAGATCCTCCTGCTTCAGCCTTTGATGGGCCATCTGCCAGACTAAGTTGAAATTTTTTTCTGTTATGTTTCCAGAACCTTAAAATAGGAATTCCTGAGTTTCCAGCTGCCAGGTTTCAATCACTAGGGAGGCACGGAAAGCACTCAAGTGCAGTGTATGGCACTTGGGATCTTTATAAAGGAGCTCCGGCAGATTTCGGCGGGGAAAGCCTTTCACACACCAGCAAAAAGTCAGCGCCCCAAGTTGCCAGCCAGAATCCGATCAGCTCACTCAGGGGATCTCATGCTTCTGGGAACCAGAATCAAGGGCTGAAGCGCTTGATTCCCCAACGAGGGCCCGGACTCCCCGCCACCCTGACTAAAAACCGCCGTTGGTTTGAACGGAAACAGGCAGCTAACAACCCAGTGGGCCTCACCTATGTGGACACATTGTCTCTCTCTCTGGGCACTGACCACGTCCCAGCCCGAGCAGCGGGATCCCGAAGGGACCGAGGATTAAAAAGAACATGAGGCGGACTCTGCCATGACCTCGGGCCGGATGAGACCACCGCGCCGCAGCCTCGGGGTGTGGGTCTCCTCCAAGGCGGAGCAGGGCCCCGGGAGCCCGCGGGGCGCGGCGGGCCGGCCGGCCGCGGCG